TCTGGTCACGCGATTACAGACATGAAAGTTGCAATATTACAACAAAAATACTTCAAATCCAGACTCCAGTGAGAGACTGCTGAATTGGAATTCATTTGCAAATTGGATACAATTAACTGAGGCTTGAATAGAGACTGGGAGTGGCTAAGTCATTATGCAAGGTAACCTATTTCCCCTTGTTTTTTTCCTCCCCTCCCTCCCCCCAACCGTTGTTGTTAAACCCTGGATTTGTGCTGGAAATGGCCCAACTTGATTATGATACACATTGTAAGGAGAATGATCACTTTAGAGAAGCTATTACCAGCAGGAGAGTGGGGTGGGGGGAGGTATTTTTTCACGCTTTGTGTGTATAGCAAGATCTTCTACACTTTCCACTGTATGCATCCGGTGAAGTGAGCTGTAGCTCACGAACGCTTATGCTCAAATAAATTGGTTAGTCTCTAAGGTGCCACAAATATTCCTTTTCTTTTTGCGAATACAGACTAACACGGCTGTTACGCTGAACACTGATGGGGTGTCATACAGTTGTGCTTTGCCCTTCGGTAAGGCTTTCCATGCTAAATGGTTGTATTATTCCAATCCCTCCACTCAGCTCAGATTGCACCTCTGACAATAATGGGGGAGAGCAAGGGCTGCTGCTTCCCTATCTGAGAGTATGGCTACACTATGAAATTAGGTCCAATTTATAGAAGTCGGTTTTTTAAAAATCATTTTTATAGAGTTGATTGTGTGTGTCCTCACACAAAATGCTCTAAGTGCATTGCTTCCACAGTACCGAGGCTAGCTATCCCACAGAACCCGCAGTCTCCGCCACCCATTGGAATTCTGGGTTGAGATCCCAAGGCCTAATGGGGCAAAAACATTGTCATGGGTGGTTCTGGGTACATGTCGTCAGGCCCTCCCTCCCTCTGTGAAAGCAACGGCAGACAATTGTTTCGCGCCTTTTTTCCTGGGTTACCTGTGCAGACGCCATACCACGGCAAGCATGGAGCCTGCTCAGCTCACTGTCACTGGATGTCTCCTGGGTGCTGGCAGACGCAGTACTGCATTGCTACACAGCAGCAGCTCATTGCCTTGTGGCAGCGGACAGTGCAGTAGGCCTGATAACTATCGTCGTCATGTCCTAAATGCTCTTGGCTGCCTTGGTAAGATCGGTCAGGAGCGCTTGGGCAGACATGGGCACAGGGACTGAAATAGGAGTGACTCGACCAGGTCATACTCTTTAGTCCTGCCGGCAGTCGTATTGCACCATCTTCTGCCGAGCAGCCAGGAGAGGAGGATGGCTAGCAGTCCTATTGCACCATCTGCTGCCAGCCAAAGATGTAAAGGATAGATGGAGTGGATCAAAACAAGAAATAGACCAGACCTGTTTTGTATTCATTTGCTCCCTCCCTCTGTGAAATCAATGGTCGACAATCATTTCGGTGAGAGCTGCCAGGGGCATCTTGAAAAGTTTAATGGAGATTCGGTCCTCCTTGGAAACTGGAGGAAAGGATAGCTCAGTGGGTTGAGCATTGGCTTGCTCAACCCAGGGTTTTGAGTTCAATCCTTGAGGGGGCCATTCTGTGTCACAGTTGTTTTTGTTTCTCCTTGATGTAAAGCCACCCCCTTTGTTGATTTTAATTCCCTGTAAGCCATGTCATCAGTCGCCCTTCCCTCTGTCAGAGCAACGGCAGACAACCGTTCCACGCCTTTTTTCCATGCAGACGCCATACCACGGCAAGCCTAGAGCCCACTCAGATCACTTTGGCAAGTAGGAGCACATTAAACACCACACGCATTATCCAGCAGTATATGCAACACCAGAACCTGCCAAAGCGAAACCAGGCAAGTAGGCGACGTCAGCACAGTGATGAGGACATATGGACACAGACTTCTCTCACAGCACAGGCCCTGCCAATGCATGCATCATGGTGCTAATGGGGCAGGTTTGTGCGGTGGAACGCTGATTCTGGGCTCGGGAAACAAGCACAGACTGGTGGGACCGCATAGTGTTGCGGGTCCGGGACGATTCCCACTGGCTGCGAAACTTTCGCATGCGTAAGGGCACTTTCATGCAACTTTGTGACTTGCTTTCCCCTGCCCTGAAGCGCCAGAATACCCAGATGAGAGCAGCCCTCACAGCTGAGAAGCGAGTGGCAATAGCCCTATGGAAGCTTGCAATGCCAGACAGCTACTGGTCAGTCGGCCATCAATTTGGAGTGGGCAAATCTACTGTGGGGGCTGCTGTGATACAAGTAGCCAATGCAATCAAAGATTTGCTGATATCAAGGGTAGTGACCCTGGGAAATGTGCAGGTCATAGCGGATGGCTTTTGCTGCAATGGGATTCCGTAACTGTGGTGGGGCAATACACGGAACCCGTATCCCTATCTTGGTACCAGAGCACCAAGCCGGTGAATACATAAACCGCAAGGAGTACTTTTCAATAGCGCTTCAAGCACTGGTGGATCACAAGGGACGTTTCACCAACGTCAGCGTGGGATGGCGGGGAAAGGTACATGACGCTTGCATCTTCAGGAACTCTGGTCTGTTTCAAAAGCTGCAGGAAGGGACTTTCTTCCCAGACCAGAAAATAACTGTTGGGGATCTTGAAATGCCTAGTTATCCTTGGGGACCCGGCCTACCCCTTAATGCCACGGCTCATGAAGCCATACACAGGCAGCCTGGACAGTAGTCAGGAGCTGTTCAACTGCAGGCTGAGCAAGTGCAGAATGGGGGGTAGAGTGTGCATTTGGACATTTAAATTGTCGCTGGTGCAGTTTACTGACTCAGTTAGACATCAGCGAAACCAATATTCCCATTGTTATTACTGCTTGCTGTGCACTCCACAATATCTGTGAGAGTAAGGGGGAGACATTTATGACGGGGTGGGAGCTCAACCGTACGCTGGAGCATATTAGTTTGATCCTCCACCAGCCTCAGCATTGAATCCTGCCTTCTCTCACCATGCTGCCGCCACCTATCATCTTCAGCCCGCCACTTACTCTGGTGTTCATTTTGTACTTTCCTGCATTCTGACATTGTCTGCCTCCATGCATTCGTCTGTGCTCTGGCAGTGTGGGAGGACAGCATGCGGTCAGAGAACGTTTCACTGCGAGTGTGTTTTTTTTGCCTTCTAATCTTCGCTAGCCTCTGGGAAGCAGAAGTTCCTATGATCCTTGAAACACATGCAGCTGGTGGAGGAAAGAAAAAGAAAAAGAGACTGTGGTATTTAAAAAAGACACCTTTTCTAGAACAATGGGTACTCTTTCACAGTAAACCTTGCTGTTAACATGACACATATAGCACATGTGCTTTCATTACAAGGTTGCATTTTGCCTCCTCCACCACGTGGCTAACATCGGGGAACACTTCTGTTCAGCCACAGGCAAACAGCCCAGCAGGAACGGGCACCTCTGAATGTCCCCTTAAGAAAAGCACCCTATTTCAACCAGGTGACATGAATTATATCACTCTCCTGAGGGTAACACAGAGAGATAAAGAACGGATGTTGTTTGAACGCCAGCAACCATACAGTGCAATGCTTTGTTCTGCAATGATTCCCGACTACATGCTACTGGCCTGGTGTGATAAAGTGTCCTACTATGGTGGACAGAATAAGGCTGCCCTCCCCAGAAACCTTTTGCAAAGGCTTTGGGAGTACATCCAGGAGAGCTTTATGGAGATGTCCCTGGAGGAGTTCCACTCCATCCCCAGACACGTTAACACAGACTTTTCCAGTAGCTGTACTGGCCATGAATGCCAGGGCAAATTAATCATTAAACACACTTGCTTTTAAACCATGTATACTATTTAAAAAGGTACACTCACCAGAGGTCCCCTCTCCGCCTGGCGGGTCCGGGAGGCAGCCTTGGGTGGGTTCGGGCGGTACTGGCTCCAGGTCCAGGGTGAGAAACAGTTCCTGGCTGTTGGGAAAAGTGGTTTCTCCGCTTGCTTGCTGTGAGCCATCTACAACGTCCTCCTCATCCTCCTCGTCCCCAAAACCTGCTTCCGTGTTGCCTCCCTCTCCATTGACGGAGTCAAAGCACACGGTTGGGGTAGTGGTGGCTGAACCACCTAAAATGGCATGCAGTTCATCATAGAAGTGGCATGTTTGGGGCGCTGACCCGGAGCGGCCATTTGCCTCTCTGGTTTTCTGGTAGGCTTGCCTCAGCTCCTTAAGTTTCACGAGGCACTGCTTCAGGTCCCTATTTCTCAGCCCCCTCCTCTTCCAGTCTTAGATTCTCTCTTTTTCTCCTAAATGCTGATTACAGCTGGTTGAAACTTGGAATGTCTATTTCCCAGGACATTTCAAAATTCCTGAGAAATAGAAACCTGTTTTGGAAATTATGTCCAAATGTCATCTGTTCCATTACAACACAAACAGGAGACGTTTTTATCCTAGGAAGTAAGATAATGTGTTTCAATTTGTAGTAAGTACGAGCTTTCCTTCATGTTTAAAAAAAAGAGAATATTTTGACTATTCTATAATGGTCTGACTTAACATACGGACATGTCACACAATGCACTATTGTTACTGCCATGTCATTGTAAAAATAAAAAGAAAAAAGAAACTACATTTCTAAATGACATTTTCATTGTAATACAAAATTTTTACTTTTTCCACAAGCCTTGGAAAATGTATTTTCTGGGGAAAATTTGTTTTGACAGGAATTTTCATTAAAATTGATACAATTTTGAAAAGCTTTCAGTTTCCTCAACTGGTATTTTCTGATAGAAAACTATTTTGACAAAAATGTCAAACTGGTTCTAATCAGGACAGTGCTCTGAACTGTTACCCGAAATTGGGCCAGCTAGTAAGCTTAGGGAGGACTAATGACCCACCAGACTTTGGCAGAAAGCAGCACATTTTTTTATACTGATAGCTAAGCTCAAAAGAAGGGGGGGGGGTTGAGGGGGTATCACACTCACATACTCATGCTTCCAGGACAGGCACAGCACTGGAGATGTCAGGATCCTTCCAGGTAAGTGTTCCACAGCGCAGTGATGGATGGTGCGATGAAGGTAAGTCTTCCCGAGGCACGATGGAATGCAACGCGGCGAACCATTGGCCAGGCGGTCCGGGCGAAGGGCCTTCACGGCACATGGCCCATTCCCCTTTTAAGGACCTGCTCCTCATAGCCTGCGACTAGAGATGACTTGGCCGTATCTGCTTGGTCACACTCCACATCAGGCAGTGTCCATGCATTGGGTGTGTGAGCTTTGCCTAATTAGAGTCCCAGACACCTTGTCTACCTGGGAGCTCTTCTGACCTTCCAGCTGTTCAACCAGCCCATTCATCCCACAAGCATTCCAAGAGGGAGGAGGAGCGGGGAAAGCCACTTCACAGGCATTCAAAGAGGGAGAGAAGACAAAAATCGGGGGGGAGGGCGTGTAACAGACCTTTTGAGCATACAGGTTATACATAGCAAAAAGATCACTGCTGCTCCTACAACATGAACCAGTATGTCAAAGTTCTGTGTTTCTATCACGCAGCCATTCCTGAGTCTTTGCTGCCACTGTGTGACCATTTCCTTTCTTGCACTTAATTTTCCATCCTCGCTGTGGATGGAATGGATGGAGGAGCTTAGCAACTGTCCCATTAAAGCTGAGCAGAGTTTTCTGTGTAAGAGACAATTTTTCAAAGTGTTTTTATGACTATTTAGGGAATCGGTGTATGTACAGAATATGAATCCTGGTTAAGTTTATGCAATTGCTATATTATGCTATATATATGCAATTGCTATATTATTGAATGCCTCAATCCTGTCAACCATGGGCTAACAAGCGCCTGACATGTATCACTTACTCTGTAAGAAGCTAAAGAACAAAAGACGTCCTTAACCTTAACAACTGTGCTCTGAGCAAACAATAGGTATGCGAAGGCGGTTGCCTGCGCTGGAAAACCAATTCAACCAAGTTCAACTGGCGGGCAAGTGGAAAATCCCCCAAAAGGAAAACAGAGGGACAGAGGTGTCACAGTAGAGGGTTAAAAGGAGAACCAAAGATGCAGGCTTTTGAAGGGGGAAGGAAACTTTTTGACAACAGGTACAGCCAAAGTCAAAGGAAGCTGGCTGGGGAGAGAGAGAGGGGAGACGCCATGTTCCAGAGGGGAAGGCATGAAGAGAGAGGTCCATGAGAGGGGATGTGGAATCCTGAAAGGACATTGTCCCAAATCCAGAAGACCATTCCAGAGTGGTGAGGAAACCAAGGCAGGCAAACGGGAACAGGTGTTTTATTGTTGTGTATAGATCGGTATTTTTCTTGTGATGTCTAAAGTCAAGAGTGATTGGGTTTGGAACCCCTTTGCAAAGCCCGGGTGTCTATTTGTTTCCTTTCTCACATGTCCCTGAGGAGATGATGTGTAAATCCAGAGTGACCACAAGGTTGGAGGAATCAGCATTGGTCCTGGGAGGTGTATGGCACCTGAGCTGCAGGGCCTCGTTTCCATGAAGGGATAACAGTGTCTGTGCACAGGAAGTGTACGAGAGTGGCCAAGGGGAGAGATGGTGTTGGAGCCTACTCAGACTTAGAGACGCTTACGGCCCGTGGCTCCAGTGTGGCGAGGCCCAAGCCCAGCAGTACAATGAATGTCCAGCAGGGGGAGCTCAACTAGGGCTGTGATAGTTCTATTATCTACATACATAATCAGATACTCTTGAAAATTGCTCTGACAGTTGGGGGGGCTGGAGTCAGGAGTGAAAATAAGGGGGTACAGGCCCGTACACCATACCAGTACACATTGTAAGGAGAATGATCACTTTAACATCACTGCCCCTTTTGCACCCCAGATCAGCAGCCCTGACGGGTCCCTACCAATTTAAGAAAAATTTGACCCCTTCCAGGGTGCAGCGCAATGCCGCCTGCCTTAGCACCCCTGCTGCGCTGCTGACCGGGAGCCACCTGAGGTAAGCCCACGTCCCAACCCCAATCCTCTGCCCCAGGCCTGAGGCCCCCCCCCAAACCCAGAGCCCGCCTCCTGCACCCCAAACCCCACATCCCTGAGCCCATCCCGCAGCTGTCAAGCCCAACCCTCTGTCCCAGCCCTGAGCCCCTCCCACACCCCAAACCCTTCAGCTCCAGTTCTGTTAGGTAGCAGGCATCAAAAAATTTCTTCAACTGGCTCACCAGAAAACATGTTTATATATATGTCTTTATAGACACATACACACGCGCGCACACACACACAGTATAAGCTTTAAAACAAACAATTTAATGTCGTACAAAGCAATGATGATTGTGAAGCTTGGTTGAGGTGGGGAAGTCAGGGAGTGGGATATTTCCCAGGGAATGACTTGCTGCTAAATGATGAACGAGCACTCGGCTGAGCCCTCCAGGGTTAACACATTGTTGTTAACGTAGCCTCACGCTCTACAAGGGAGCACAAATGGAGAGAGGGGAGATAAGGTACAGGAGTGGGGGGATGGGGACACCCTAACATTAACACCCCTCTTCCCCCCCACCTCCTGCACAGCAAGCAGGAGGCTCCCAGGAGCAGCTCCAAGGCAGAGAGCAGGAGCAGCACCTGCCGGACAAGTGATAGCCTGCTGGGCAGGTGCTGCACAGGGAACTTAGGAGAGCTGATGGGGGCTGCCGGGCCAGCCTGGTTCCAAGCCCCCACCAGCTAGTTCCAAGGGGCTGCTCTTTCTGCAAGCAGTGGACAAAGGGTTATAACGGAGCATGCGCAACTGTAAATGAGCATATTCTCGAACTGATCAGCAACAAAACAACGTTAACTGGGACAACTTTAAGTGATGCTTTACTGTACAGGAGTCTAATAGCCACACAATGACCAGTCCTGCTCCCCTTGAAATTGGGTCAAAATTTCCTTTGCATTCAGTGGGAACAGGATCGAGCCAATAATACTTCATTTCCATTTGATGTAAAACGAGCCCCTGACAACTACTTTGTCTTTGGATTTTAAGTGTGCTCAATTTAAGGCAAATTATCTGTATTTGCGAATGGTGTGTGTGTGTGTGTGTGTGTCTGTCTCTTGCTCTTCTATTAAAGGCTGTTTGCAAATGACTCCTTGCTGCCTGCAAACTCTCCTTGGAAAAGTAATGAGTGAACATCTGTGGATCTGGAGAAAATGGTTAAAAGAAAAGAAATAATGTCCTAGGGTCAGATTAACAAACAAGCTTAGGCACTGAAATATGCAGCTAGCCACCTAGCGCGGTTTACAAAAGCATCTAGCAAAAAGAAAAGGAGTACTTGTGGCACCTTAGAGACTAACCAATTTATTTGAGCATGAGCTTTCGTGAGCTACAGCTCACTTCAACACGGCTGTTACTCTGAAAAAAGCATCTAGGTAAGTTACGCCCCTAACTCCCATTGACTTGCCCTGGCTGCACTCTGAATGCTGTAAATTTGCATTAGAAACGTTTACTTATATTCATACTAACAGAAAAGGAAGAGGAAACAAATGTGAGTTTAATGCAAGAACCCCAGGCATTGCAGAGCCATGTGTCAAATTATATTTTCATATTCAGTCTCCTGTCTTTTTCCTGAAAAAAATCACATCAGGTAGCGCCTGCTACTTTGCACTCTTCCTTTCTGTCCATCCAGCTTTTAACATTAATTGATAGCATCTGAAAACCACTGTCCCGGCTATGCAGGCTGAGTCCCTTGATCCTGTCCTCATGTCTAGGAATGGAAGCAACACTCCGCAGCATTTCTCTGCAGATCCCTTGCTTTCTCTACCATGCTGAGTTTTCTTATTGCTGTTAGCGATGTATGGTTTTCCCCACATCTTATCAGCAGACTTATGGAAGCCACCTGCAGAGCAGTGGTAAGCCTGCTATTCTTAAATGGTTTGCCCAAGAAAAAAAGTTCCTGGCTGGAGGGACATTTCAGCCAGTTTTCCTTTTCATTTGTTTTCTACTACACCACACAAATATTTTAATAGTTGTATGTCCCCTTGGAACATGCATAAAGGCTCCGCAATACTCACTGATGGGGTAAAAAGAAAAGGAATACTTGTGCCACCTTAGAGAACTACCAGTTATTTTGAGCATAAGCTTTCGTGAGCTACAGCTCACTTCTTCTACTTTTTCCACAGTATGCATCCGATGATCTTTTTATACACACAAAGCATGAAAAAATACCTCCCCCCACCCCACTCTCCTGCTGGTAATAGCTTTTCTAAAGGGAGCACTCTCCTTACAATGGGTATGATACTTAAGTTGGGCCATTTCCAGCACAAATCCAGGGTTTAACAAGAACTGCGGAGGGTGGGGGGTAGGAAAAAAACAAGGGGAAATAGGTTACCTTGCATAATGACTTAGCCACTCCCAGTCTCTATTCAAGCCTAAGTTAATTGTATCCAATTTGCAAATGAATTCCAATTCAGCAGTCTCTCGCGGGAGTCTGGTTTTGAAGTATTTTTGTTGTAATATCTCAACTTTCATGTCTGTAATCGTGTGACCAGAGAGATTGAAGTGTGCTCCTACCAGTTTATGAACGTTATAATTCTTGACATCTGATTTGTGTCCATTTATTCTTTTACGAAGAGACTGTCCAGTTTGACCAATGTACATGGCAGAGGGGCATTGCTGGCACAGCATAGCGTATATCACATTGGTGGATGTGCCTCTGATAGTGTGGCTGATGTGATTAGGCCCTGTGATGGCGTCCCCTGAATAGCTATGTGGGCACAGTTGGCAACGGGAAGGATGTAGATCCTTCATAATGCGTTGGAGGGGTTTTATTTGGGGGCTGAAGGTGACGGCTAGTGGCGTTCTGTTATTTTCTTTGTTAGGCCTGTCCTGTAGTAGGAGACTTCTGGGAACTCTTCTGGCTCTGTCAATCTGTTTCTTCACTTCCGCAGGTGGGTATTGTAGTTGTAAGAATGCTTGACAGAGATCTTGTACGTGTTGGGCTCTGTCAGAGGGGTTGGAGCAAATGCGGTTGTATCGCAGAGTTTGGCTGTAGACAATGGATCGTGTGGTGTGGTCAGGGTGAAAGCTGGCTGCTCGGCAGCTCTCCAACACCACTTTTTACAAGGCACTGATCCCACTGAGAGTTAC